AAACTTCAAAGGTCTTGTTTTCATTCCTATCACATAGAAATCACTGCTTTGGGATTTAACATAAAAAGGAAAAATACAAATCAATGTTTAGGTGACCTCAGAATGGAAGATCATAGAGTAAAGAAGCCTCAAATCTTTCTGGTGAAGAATTTTTTTTTCCTTCAACTGCCATGAAAACATACACATTACTCCAAAATGGCGGCCAATTCATTATTCTTTTGTTTGCATGTTAATTAGCCCTCTTTGCCTCATTTTCACTTCAAAATTCTTTTGTATTTTGTACATGTTGACGAGGCAAAGAGGGCCAATTACCATGTAAACAAAAGAATAATAAACTGGCTGCCATTTTGGAATAAGGTGTATGGATCGCTCTTTTGTCAGCACCTTTTGTGAGAAATTTGCATTCTTTTGTACAAACACTTCCAGCGAAAATTAATTGACAAATGAATTTGACATCAAATGCATCAAGTGGGGAGTGAGAATTTGCACATGCTCGATGAAAAAGCAGATGGTTGCTTGCAGTGGTTTCTCTCTCGCTTGGCATTTATAGGAGAAACCAACTGCTTGCAGGGTAAGAAATTGACTATTTGATTTCTTGTTTTCAAATTGACTTTCACTCGTATCTTTTATTTTATTTTCCGTTGTTGTTTTCTCAAATATCAGCCGTTATAGTACAAGCATAGAAATTCTGTTGTATTTGGTTTTGTTTTGTCCTCCGAAGTCAACAATTAACTCATTTCGTCTATTCAATTTTCTCAGCTTCCATGGGGGTATTTTTGCTAAAATTTTCTTTTTTCAACCAAATTAAAGTTCATTATTTAAGGTAACATTTTTCACGAAAATGAAAATAAAATATTAAAACGTACGTGAGTTATTGGGATAAAGAGATTTTTAATAAACCATAATAAACCATCAAGGTGTCATAGGGTGCATTTCTTTAAGAAAATCCAAGATTGGATTCTTAAATCTGAAAGAATCCAAAAACAGATTTTGCATTTCTTTACTTAACAGATCAATCCAAGATCTCTCAGATCATGATTTGTCAAAGAAACCGAAGAATCCACTCTGAAAGTGGCTGAGAGTGAGAAAATGCACTCAGCAATGACTGCCTTGATTTCTTCGGTGCAGATGCCATTTTAGCACATGTGAAAGCCTGCATTCCCCAGTTCTTTGAAAATGTTCCAGACGTTTCATGATACTTCGATCTACT